TTTTTTTAAAGGGGAGCCTGGGTGGCTCAATCGGTTAAGCTTCTGACTTCGGCTCAGGTCATGATCTGGAGGTTCACGAGTGCGATTCCCGTGTCAGGCTCTGTGCTGGCAGCTCAGAGCCTGGAGCCTGCTTCAGATTCTGTGTCTCCTCCTGTCTCTGCCCCTCCCATACTCATGTTCTGTCTCTGTCTCTTAATAATAAATAAACGTTTAAAAAAATTTTTTTTAGGTACCAAAATCTGTACTGGTTGTCTATTGGTGAGTAACAAACTATCCCAAAACTTAGAACAGTAAACCTTTATTACCTCACACAATTTCTGTAGGACAGGTATCCAAGAATGCCTCAGCTGAGGGGTTTGGTCTTAGGGTGTCCCTCATGGGTCTACAGTCAAGTTATCAGCTGGGGATATAGCTGAAGCTTTGACTGGAACTGGAGGATCCACTTACAAAATGGCTCACTCCCATGACTGGCAAATTAGTGCCAGCTTTTGGCAAGTGGCCCAGTTCCTTGTGACAGAAACTTCTCCATAGGGTTGCTTGAGTGTCGTGATAATATGGCAGCTGGTTTTCCCCAGAGTGAGTGATCTAAGGGAGAACAACAAAGAAACTAAAATGTTTTCCATGATCAGAGAAGTCACTCAGTGGTCATACCTGCAATAGCCTATTTGTGTGTGTGTGTGTGTGTGTGTGTGTGTGTGTGTGTGTTTTAATGTTTATTTTTGAGAGAGAGAGAGAGGCAGAGAGTGGGAGACACAGAAACCAAAGCAGGCTCCAGGCTCAAGCTGTCAGCACAGAGAACAAAGCAGGGCTCGAACTCACAAACTGCAAGATCACGACCTGAGCTGAAGTCAGACACTTAACCGACTGAGCCACCCAGATGCCCCTGCAATAGCTATTTGTTACCACAGGCCATCCCTACTTTTTATGGGATTGTACTAAACAGAGACATGAATGAATACCAGCAGGTGAGAATCATGGAGTGTCACGATGGAAGCTGAATACCGCATCAGAGACATGAAAGTGAAGATTCTACTGAGATCCAGGGACCTACTCAATACAGTGACAACAATCAGAAAGCCCCAAAAGGCCAAGTATTGTGGCAAGAATGAAGAGCATCTCATACATGCTAGGAATGTAATATGGTACGACCACTACAGAAACCAATGCCCCTCTTATTGTTTTGTATATGTTTTTGTTGCATTTTTTTTCCCCACAAGCTCTAATTCACTTCATTTTTCTTGTATAAAACTAGGTGGTGGCCGTACCCCTGCGTGGAGACCGGGATGTGGATCTTTACAAGACGGTCGGTGGATTCCTGATAGAGAGACTTGGTGAACTCAGTCTCTTTCCAGAGGTGGGAGGGAGATAGATGTAGGTCTTGGGAATGGCACCAAAAGTGACCGTGGTGAAGTTGCCCAGCGTGGCAATGCAGCTCCTGGCTGAGGTGTAGCAGTCTTCAATGCCAGCCATCAGCATCAGCTTCTTGGGCATAGGGGCTGAGGTAATGCCAGGGCCTCTGGGGATGAGGATGAGGGGAACTAGCACAGAGCCACAGCGGCCGGTCACCTTGCATGGGACAGTGTGGGGCTTGCCAGTCTTGTTCCCCCAGGAGCCTCGCCACACGGGGACAACAGAAAACATGGCCAGGATGATGGCCCCATGGATGGCAGTGGCTACCTCCTTAGAGCAGTTAACATCCAGACTGATATGTTCATTGTAATCTCCGATGGCAGCAAATGCCTGCAAACAGCCCGAGAAGGTTGATGGTCCCCTGACCTGCACGGCAGCAGTAACCCACCCAGGACCTGTTGCATGACTCCAGGAAAGAGTGGCTTCTGTGAGGCCAGTCTGAGGTCCTGAGGAGATCCTTTCTCTCTCTTCCCATTTTTTTTTTTTAATTTCCACCTATAATTTTCTACCTCCCCAAGTGCTTTTTGTCCCCCACCCCCTACCTTTCCAATGTGCCTCTTAGGTATTTACACAAGAGAAATGAAAACATGTGTCCATCACACTTATATGAAATTCCAGAAGAGATAAAATTATAGCAACAAAACAGACTAGAGGTTTCAAGGCCCTGGAGTGGAGGCAAGGAACGGGTTCCAAAGGAGACACCAAAGAGTACTTTTTGGTGATAGAGATATTCTGTATCATTATTGTGGTGGCCACTGCTTGGGTATATGTTTTATATATGGAATACATTTACAAAAATGCATTGAATTGCACAATTTATTGTTTTTAATTACATGAGTTAAATGGATGCGTTTTACTGTATGTAGGTTATACCTCAATAACATTGACTAAAATAACATATTTGTCTACCTGGTTGGAGATTTTTTAATAATAGATTCATGGAAAGGACTGAGTCCACTGCCTGGCTTGTAGAAAAAATTAAATTTATTCAGTATTTTCCCATTGATGTTATAGAGTCTGAATGTTATGAATGAGAGATTGATAAATTATTGAGGTGCACATGCACTTTGTGATACACGCTATCATACCTCCCTAAGAGAAAACAGATGTTCTTTCCAGTTACTAATGATTTTGGAAGTCTTAGATGCAACTCTTCCCCTAAGAAAGAATTTAACCCAGACTGTTGATTTTAATTTTGAGACAGTACTTCTTTGGTTCTAAAATTAAGGAGAAACTCTTTTCCTCTTCAATGTGATGACTGTCTTCAACTATGTAGGAAGAAATTATGTTGATGCCATTTTCTGGTAACTTCGAAGGTAATACAATGCATTGG